GAAAAAATAATATTGCGCTCGCCTCGCACGGTAGTAGCTCATTTTCTCATGGGCGGGCAAAGCAGAGAAAGGGGAGGTAGTGGCTGAAATTCTGCACCAAGGCTGAATTTCGGGAAAGAGACTTCAGATACAGTACTAGGGACCACTTAGGCCTATATAAAAGCATCCAAAAAGCAGCATGTCATGGGACCTTTAAGGTATAACTTACGAGCGACGTAGCGTTAAGAAGGTTTTGGGAAACGCAGCCCACACTTTTAAAAGATGGAGTGATAAAGGCATTGTTCATTTCTCAGATCTTTTCATTGATAATGTTTTTGCTACTTTCAATGACCTTATATCCAAATATAATTTACATACTACAGACTTATTCAGGTATTTCCAGCTTCGTAATTTTGTAAGAACTCATTTCGCTAGTTTTCCCCAATTGCCAGAAAAATCCCTGCTTGAGAGTTTATTGTCAGCCCCTATAGATGGTAACCTTATCTCTTCTATCTATCTCATGTTGCTTTCATCTAGATCTTCATCTCTCTTATGTTTGAAGTCAACATGGGAGAAAGAGTTAGAGCTCAGCTTTTCTGAAGAGCTCTGGTCTGAGGCTCTTGTTAATTAATTAATGAGTTAATTCTACTTCTGCTTGTGCCCGGTTAAGGCTGATTCAGTTAAAAGTTTTGTACCGAACCCACTTTACCAAAGCTAGACTTCAAACATTTTTCCCAGAAATAGATGACTCTTGTATCAGATGCTCCTTTTCTCCAGCTGACCATGTTCATACATTTTTCAGTTGCCCTAAATTGGCCTCATAATGGCCTTCCTTTTTTGATTTTCGTTCAAGGGCTTTACATATTTCTCTCCCTCCATGCCCTATGGTTGCTATCTTTGGTGTGTCTGTTTTTTCTTCTACTCTTTCGAAACAACAAGCAGATGTTATTGCATTTGCCTCCCTGGTTGCTAGTAGATGTATTTTGCTACATTAGAAGTGTCCAACTCCACCCGCAACTACCGCTTGGTTAAAAGATCTCGTGTCATTCCTTTCTCTAGAAAAACCAAAGTACACTATTCAGGGCTCAACTGTTAAATTCTACAAAATTTGGAACCCCATTCTAAATTTCTTTGACCTCACTAGATTCTGATTGAGTTTGTTCAGTGTGTAAATGTTAACATTTTTGTACAGTACAGCATGGTTGTGTGTGTATGCATGCATGTATACTTCTGTATGTATCATTGTTTTGTTTGTTTTTTTCCTTTCTCTTTTTTTCTCATTTCATAAAAAAAAAAGATTTAATGTGAATGACGAAAATGTGAAGAGTGATTTTTGGCAAAGCAACAGAGTGTTTAATATTGACGTTCCTGCAGTGGCTAAGTGTTTTGAAAGGATAAAGATAAACAAAAGTCCTGGACCAGATTTACACAGATTTTTTAACATGTCTCTTAAAATGCAAATTGTCCCACAAATCTGGAAACATGCTATAGTGGTTCCTGTAGCAAATGCAGGAATCCAAAGGTCTTAAATGATTTTTGACCAGTAGCCCTCACTTCTCTGGTGATGAAAAATGGTGAGAATGGAGATATTAAAGCATGTAGAAGATAAGTTTCAGTTAAGATAAGATCCATTTCAGTTTGCATATAGGGCAAGGAGGGGTGTTGAAGATGCCGTAACAACACTTGTGCACTTAGTAGCTCAACATTTGGAGACCCCACAACAAGGGCATGGCTGGCTTTTATTGACTTTTCATCTGCATTTAACTCAATTAGGCCGTATGTGTTAGCCAAAGAGTTTGTCAATTTAATTATTGAACAGGACTGTGTTTGAAGCCAAAGGCTTGCTGACTTTCAAGTTATGTTCTTCTATAGCAGTGGTTGCCAACCCGTAGATCGCGATCTACTGGTAGATATTTATCAATGTCTCAGTAGCTCCCGAATACAACAGAAAATAATTACAAAAATACATTACATTTCTCCAGTCTTTGTACTGTATTTCTTGTACTTATTTTTCTGTTATTTTTGGGACCTACTGGAAAAGCTCTTACAATCACGTTAAAATCACATGTGAAATATGTGAAACACACAAAACTCACATAAAACATGGTTTTGGAATATTTTCATGGTGTAAATGTATGAAACCCATGTGATCACATGTGAACACGTGTGAACAATAAGTGCGTTCGACTTGAAGCACGGCTACAGATGGCGATCAACGAGAATAGCCGCTTGCAGTCGGGGGCGGAGTTGAAAACGGAGCCGTCAAGCTGATCATTTCTGCTCCCGTTAGTGACGCTCGCGTGGTGTTTGCATACTCTATCACAGATTAAGTGAATTAATTAATTAAATTATTTGTCAAATACACAGACATTTCAGAAACGTTTTCATGAGCAACAGAAACACTTACTGCTTAATACAGCACCATCTGTTCAAGAATAAAGTTCAACGTAAATATATACTATTTAAATACTAATAAAGTGGGGGTATATATGCTTTCATGAACGTCATAAACATGACTCAATATAACATTGCGACGACAGTATAAAAGCTTTTACTGTTCTAAAAACACAGATTTATGAGCAGTATTGGATTTGAAGATGTTATAAACACATGAATTTGGCCAATTGTGACACAGCTGTGTCGTCATCAGCACTCCTGCAGTCGCTCTGAAAAAGCTGCGCCAGCTGAGTCAGCCGGCTGCTCTCGAAAGGCTATCGCGGTACTTTGATGCCACACGTGACAGTGACGTGGCGTCGGCGCCGGTTCAAGTCGGACTAAATTTCTAACCGACATGTACTGCTTCAAGTCAGCCGCCGATCGGTTTGCGCGGCGCCGCATGAAGTCGAACGCACCTAATATGTAATCACATGTTGAAATGTCATCAGATCACATGGGTTTCACACATTTACACTATGAAAATGTTCCAAAACCACGTTTCATGTGAGTATCATGTGTTTCACATGAGTTTTTCACATATTTCAGATGTGATTTTAACATGTGATTGCACGTGAAGTTCATGTGCTCCTTCTGTAAGGCATAAAAAATATACTGTATATCATGCCTGAGTCTGTAAACAAAATGTTAAAAGAGGCCAGAGACGCTGAAGACAGATGCAAAGAGGAGAAAATACTGTAGCAGACAGAGCAAACTCACTGTTCACAATGCTCGAAATATAGAAAGAAAATATACATTTGAACATATCACTGAAGGGGACTGACTGACTTCAGAAAAGTTTTGATGGCAATGCCAAAGCAGTATTAGTAAAGTAGTATTTACAAGTGCAGCGCTGCTTTGTTTACAGTGGTAACCAAGGAAATGCTGTATTCCTGCTGTTCCATGAGCGCCACCCACTAGCAAAGAGTAAATTTGCATTTTCATTCAGTCTGTCTGCTGTTTTTGTTTTTTGCTGGAATGTTTTACATAGCATGATTTCACAAAGCTTAAGTCAGACATTCTGTTTTTGATTTAAATCTTTGATATTATATAATCTGATTAAAATGATCATTTATTATTATTATTATTAAGTAAAAGGGCAAAAACTGTCCATACTAAATGTGTGATATCTTTCTTTGGATCCTGATTAAACTTTAAGGCTAGTTTGACTTGTAATAAAGGAAATAAATAATGGTCTTACTTTAGTTTGGGGACCAATTCTCACTATTAACTATGACTTTTGCCTCAATAAACTCCTAATTTGCTGCTTATTAATAGTAAGGTAGATGTCAAGTGTAGGTATGAGGTAGGATATAGGGATCTAAAATATGGTCATGCAGAATAAGGAAATAAGCAACTAGTTAATAGTGATTATTGGTCCCTAAAGTGTTACCTAAACAACAAATACATTTGTTTAAAGTTTACTTAAAATCATAAACCAGTATTGGAATCGGCCCATTTGTTTTTGAAATAGTGGAAACGGCTATGAAAAATCATGATTAGTGCATCCCTACTCTCTTTATCTATGTTTTTCAGTGTTGTTTGTGTCTTTTTTTTTCAGAGGCGGACAGTAGTGAAGTATTTTTACTCTACTGTAAAAGTACTTTTCAGGTGTCTACTTTATCAGAGTGTTTTTCTTTAGAAAACTTTACTTCACAACATTCCAAAGCATAATATTGTACTTTTTACTGCACTACGTTTCATATTAAATATAATTTAATACTTAATTACATTAGAAATGTATTACTTTCTTACTTGTACTCAAGTAAAAGTAATTAAAAGATTTACTTGAGTACAAGAAAGTACTACATTTTTTATGTTCTTAAGTATTAAAGGTAAAACAAACAACAACTTTTATTTATGAAACGAAGTGCAGTTATGCAAAAGTGACATTATGCTTTGGAATGTACTGAAGTTAAGTTTTCCAAAGAAAAACACTCTGATAAACTACAGATACTTTTAAAATTTACTTGAGTAAAGTAAATATTCTTCACTACTGTCCGCCTCTGCTTTTTTTATCTGTAATTTGTCAATTATTTTACTCAATGGTATGTCAGATATGTTGTGTGTGGGTCTGTTGATGGCAGACAGTGATTCTCCACATGGTTTTACTCTCATCTTGAGTCTGAAAAACTGACTTCATTAGTATTCTTAAACTGTTCTGGTTTAACTGGTTTAAGTTCTAAAGAAAACTTTGCCCTCCAGAGTCCTATATAAATGCAGAATTGAAAAGAGTTTCAGAACTTCTGCTCAAGACACAGTTCAGTGGAGAAACATCTACATCATTATTAATTTCATATTTAGTAAATAATACTGTACTACTTCATGTAATACTGAGATATATAGATTTTAAAGTGTATTGATTCTACATGTACTGTATCAGACAGCATTGAGACATTGTGTACAGCAGTTTGTTTGTTTTTTTCTAACAAAACTCAAAGCAATTATTGCAGATTTGCTTAAACAACTTTCTGATGATTCATATCAGAATCTCCATTCACAGCTTCATAATCCAAATAACATTTAAAAACTTAGGTCCACATGTTGAGAGTGAAAGTAATTCAGATCTTTTTCTTCTTGTCCTGCAGCTGTGAGTCGGTGAAGGACGATGGCGTCTGTTAAAGAGCTGCTCGTGGACTCACTGAAGGAACTGTTAGAAGCTGAACTGAAGGAGTTTCATTGGCGCTTAATGAATGCATATCATAAGTGTATATCAAAGTCTGAAATGGAAAAGGTAGATATATTCGACACAGTGGATAAAATGGTGTTGTGTTTTGGACCAGAAGAAGCTGTGAAGATCATGGTGGACATCCTGAGAAAGATGAAGCAGAATGATTTGGCTGAACAGTTGGAGAATGAACACAAGCAAGGTAACATTTAATTCACTGTGACTGTGATGTGAGTAAATATTTAAAAGTGTGATGGGTTGACTTAAACCTCTTTTCTTCTTTGCTTTGCTGATGTGATTAATGTGTGATATATGTTTCCCAGTGAGTAATTCTCTCTTTCTCTCTCACAGCTCAGGCTGAGGGCAATATGAAGACATCTGTCCCTGTTGGAGGTATTTTACAACATATCTGGTGTAAATATCAATCACTGTCTGTAAATAAATACTAGAGAAAATATAACTGCAAGCATTACAGGGCCAGTCACACCAGCGGCAGATCTTATACAAATATATATTGAATAGAATAGCGCATTCAGTAACACTTTTGAATAGGGAACACATTCACATATTAACTAAGAGTTTTCCCTGAACAAACTCCTAATTTGCTGCTTATTAATAGTTAGTAAGGGAGTTGTTAAGTTTAGGTAAGGTGTATGATTAAGGGATCTAAAATATGGTCATGCAGAATAAGGTATTAATATGTGCTTTATGAGTACTAATAAACAGTCAATATGCTAGTAATATGCATGCTAATAAGAAACTAGTTAATAGTGAGAACTGGTCCTTAAAATAAAGTGTTACCATGTGTCCCTAGTGATACCCAGTTCACAAAGGTCTAAAAATGAATTAAACATCTTATATTGTGATACAATTTTTTATTAAAGTTGACCAGTAAGTGGCACTGTCACTGTCACCAAATTGATTCAATGTCATCAATCCATGATTACAGTCACACATGGAAAGGTTCATTTAAGCAGATCACAGGGATTAAAGTTCTCCAGCACCATGCCGGATCTCCGGCGTGCGGCATTTAGCTGCGAGAAAAAAGTTGTCCTACATTTAAAAACACTTGTTGATATCACGTTCGAGTTCATGAGTTCGCCTACCAATGTATGAGAGGACAGCTTTCACTCTCAACCAAACTAACATTACTAGCCAATCAGAAGTTTTTGTTCTTATAAACACAAGACGCACATTAGCTGATGAATGGAAAAGAAGCCTGGGTCTCGAGTGCGACGCATTGAAAAAGCTGCGAGGTGCAATGGTCAAAGATTTCCATCTAGCGTCATATTTACATAGAAAAGCTATTAAAAAAGCAGCGGAGCTTTGTAAACAGCTCAGAGTAATCACGTCATCTCCATAAGAACGATATAATTGCCAGAATGAATTTACCGGGATTTTTGAAAAGGTCCTGTTCACACATGATCTTGTAACGATAATTTACCAGTAAAGACTGTACAGGTGCATCTCAATAAATTAGAATGTTGTGGAAAAGTTCATTTATTTCCTGAACTCACCAGACCTGAACCCCATAGAGAATCTATGGGGTATTGTCAAGAGGAAAATGAGAAACAAGAGACCAAAAAATGCAGATGAGCTGAAGGCCACTGTCAAAGAAACCTGGGCTTCCATACCACCTCAGCAGTGCCACAAACTGATCACCTCCATGCCACGCCGAATTGAGGCAGTAATTAAAGCAAAAGGAGCCCCTACCAAGTATCGAGTACATGTACAGTAAATGAACATACTTTCCAGAAGGCCAACAATTCACTAAAAAAATTTTATTGGTCTTATGAAGTATTCTAATTTGTTGAGATAGTGAATTGGTGGGTTTTTGTTAAATGTGAACCAAAATCATCACAATTAATGAATAAACTACTTCAGTCTGTGTGCATTGAATTGATTTAATACACGAGTTTCACAATTTGAGTTGAATTACTGAAATAAATTCAATGACATTCTAATTTATTGAGATGCACCTGTATGTGTGAAAGGGGCTAAACTCTTCCTCTGTATATGCGGTGAGTTTGAGTTGCTTAATTAACGTTCATCTGGGAAAACTCACTTGATTTGTAACATAAATCATTTAAACCTATGCCAACACAGGAGAATACATCAACATATTTCTAAATATGCGATTTATTGTACATAGCAATTTCAAAATAAAAGTTTCTGACTTTGCATGTGGCCAAATATAAATATTAAAATTAAATGGATTTAAACATTGTTGAATCACATGAAACATCACCAGGCCATTGGCGCCCTCTGCAGGTCTTTGTTGTAATATAGGCATATTACATTATGTATTCAACAATGTTGTTCAATGAAACCATGTACTTGATTTTGATACTTTATTTGAGGCCAATTATTATTGCCTCATTGTTACTTTATATATAGTCATATTAAAGCCTGTTTTCCCACTTAGTTCTATTTGTATTACTAAAAAATGTCAGATTACTCACTTGTCAAAATAATCGGTAGATTACTTAATTAGCCAAATAATCATTAGTTAAGCACTAGATTAGTTAAAACATTTCAAAATACAACTGCATTGTTTTACTTTTTGTGATTAAAAGACAAATATTTTGTCATTTGAAAAGTTCTTAAAGTATTAAAATATTGTCTCGTTCTAGTGAACCAAGTATCTGCATTTTGTCTCACCTTGTGAGCTAAGTGTATTGTCACACCCCTAGTGTCTATGAGCGTGATAAAGCTCATAATTTTCCAAGTGTATGATATAGCCTAGCTTTCATTCTTCAGGTCAATCATATATTCATTAAAAAAAATCAGTTTGAATAATTAGTTTTTTTTGTTGTTAATTGAACTGAACTGTAGTTTTCTGTAGTAAACTGTCTGTATATTTCCTATTTTATATTCATTTCCTAGTATTTAATTTAACATTATTTCTTTTGAACAAAACAATTTCAGAAATGTCACGTTTTAGATTGTAGGTCATCTTGTACCCTGTGTCAAGGACAAAGCTAACCAACAAAACTTGATATCAAAAGCATCCTAAATGTTACATGTGTTTGCACCATATTGTAGTGAGTAACCTTTCTTGTTATTGCTGTTTCATATATCCCACCATATTCTGTAGTCTGAGCCTATCAAGGGCTAATGGCAATGGCAGATACGTTATTAGTTAGTTTCAAGGAAAATCTTTATTGTTTTTTGTTTGCCAAATAACCCTGTGTATGTGTCCGCCTCCGCAACCCCCAAGCCCCGGAAAAAAGTTCAGGCTCAAGATTTTTTTTTCCTTTAACCCCTGAGGTCAAAAGATGTTGTAAATACAGCCTCACATCCTGTTTGATGTGCTAGATGATGCTGAAACCATTTATCAGCTTTTAGTAACATTAGTCAGGATGGCATAAAGATTATCTCAATCAATACAATTCTAAAATTAAAACCAAGCTGTTAGAGATGGTCTGTGCTGTTTTCAGCAGTATGAATGTAATCTGTCTGCATCAGTTATTAATAATAATGATCATGCTGACATGAAAAATATTTCTCCAATTTGTTTAATGCTTTATCAATCTGATTGATTTTTTTTTCATTATAGAACTGCAAAACTTTTTGAAAACTCACAAAAACAACATGAAGAAGAAAGCTAAATGTATTTTTGAGGGCAACAAAGAAAACTACACAGATCTCAAGACTGTTTACACAGAGCTGTTCATCACAGAGGGAGATAAGAAAGATGTCAATCACGAACATGAGATTCTGAAGATTGATGATGTTTTCAGGAACAACAAAACACAGGACAAACCAATCAAATGCAATGATATATTTACTGAACTGAGGAAAAACAATGAGGAGAAGATTGTGCTGACCAAGGGAGTCGCTGGCATCGGAAAAACTGTCTCTGTGCACAAGTTCATCCTGGACTGGGCAGAAGGAAACACCAATCAGGATATAGACTGTGTGTTCCTGCTTCCATTCAGAGAGATCAACATGATTAAAGACAAAAAGGTCAGTCTCCATGAGTTTCTGCTGAAATTTTATCCTGAATTGAAGGACCTGGAGAATGCAAAGTTATATAAGGAATGTAAGCTAGCATTTATATTTGATGGACTTGATGAGAGTCGACTGCCATTGAAATTTAAAAGAGAAAAACTGGACACTCTTGAGGAAAGATCATCTGTAGATGTGCTGTTTACAAGTCTGGTCAAAGGTAAACTGCTTCCATCAACTCTTGTGTGGGTGACATCACGACCAGCAGCAGCCAATCAGATCCCTCCTTGGTATGTGGGTTTGTTCACAGAAGTGCGAGGATTCACTGATGATCAGAAGGAGCAGTACTTCAGAAAGAGAATCACAGATGAAACTCAAGCCTCCAAAATCATCTCACATATTAAGACGTCTCGCAGTCTCTACATCATGTGCCACATTCCTGTGTTCTGTTGGATCGCAGTCACAGTACTTCAGGATATTCTCATTGAGAACAATGCAGAGAACATCAGCACAACACTCACTGAAATGTACATTCACTTCCTCCGGATACAGATGGACATGAA